CCCAACACTTCTACTCAAAATGGATTTAAGCTCAACAATTATGAAACAATAAATTCCTCGGAACCCAACTTTTCTTCGTATAAGACTGAAGTGGTCTGGACGGGGTATTGGCGACCCACGCGGCTTTGGCGTCTGACTGCCCCGAACTGGCCAATCGACGGGGGAACGCTGAGCAACCTTTGAGGTGCAGTCGAGCTAGCGAGTCGAGAACCACTGAAATGCAGGCAACCGTATCGCCCGGAGATGGGGCATCATCAACTGGCGCACAATGAAAGATGCGAAGAAAAGTTAGTTTCTAGCAATCTCTTGTTTCATAATTGTTGAGCCTACGACCAAGTTGCAAAAACGAGGTCATACCACTTCAATAATATATATACGTAACTAGATAGGTAAATAGACAGACAGACAGACATACAGATGTATAGATAAACAACAATCCAAGCTGATGGGCAGTGTCAAACTCGCCGCATCATCTTCTCAGCATCGCGAGCGGGACTTGAACCTTGGACATGTGGGTCGAGAGGCAACAACCATTCGCTTCTTCAATTATGTTGTGCTTACTTTCATTTCGAATGAAAGTGTTGGGTGAAGAGATTCGAAGGTCGGTTCCACTAGAAGACGACGGCAGATTCCTCTTGACCGGCTGTCGATTGGCTTTACTGGAACATTCATGCTGACGTTGTTAGCGAGGCAATCTCCTTCGATTCCGATGAAAAGGTGCTAAGCTCATGTTTGTCATATGACGAACATCATCAGAGCAAGATATCATCATTAAAGCAAAATTCAAGCTAACGAGTCAAGAAAACTCACCGCTTTTTAGGGATTTGCCGGTGAGTTTTCTTGACTCGTTAGCTTCAATTTGGTTGTGACGATGAAACCTTGCTCTGATCATGTTCGTCATATGACGGACGAAAGCTTAGCACCTTTTCACCGGAATCGAAGGAGATTGCCTCGCTAACAACGTCAGCATGAATATTCCAGTAAAGCCAATCGACGGCCGGTCAAGAGGAATCTGCCGTCGTCTTCTGGTGCAACCGACCTTCGAATCTCTTCACGCAACACTTCCACTCGAAATGAAAGTAAGCACAACATAATGAAAGAAGCGAATGGTCGTTGCCTCTCGACCCACATGCCCAAGGTTCAAGTCCCGCTTGCGATGCTGAGGAGATGATGCGGCGAGTTCGACACTGTCCATCAACTTGGATTTTTGTTTATCTATACATCTGTATGTCTGTCTATCTGTCTATTTACCTATCTAGTGTCCTCCATATATATATTTATCTTATTAAAGTGGTATGACCTCGTTTTTGCAACTTAGTCGTGCTGTCGGGGTGACCTGGCTGGAAGCACTTTGTCTGAAGTCCTCTGCTATTTAAGTTAGCATAATTCTTAGATTTGGACCCCGAAATTGGGACATTCCCAGACGTTTAGCCGGCATCGTCAATGAGCCTTGCTCTTGTTGGCACAAAGCTACAGAGAGATCAAATTTCTGCCGAAAAGTTGTGTTACGACTCCTGTCCTGGCTAATCTAATCACATTCGTATGATAGTAGGGTTTCGAGACTACCAGTAAATCACTGTAATAAGATGTATTCACCCTATTTCGTCTGAGTTGATGAAGGACTGGTAGTAGAATTTTCCCACAATGATATGAG